ATTGTACATTGAGCATTGACCCCCCCATACTGAATTTTATTGTTGTTAACAACCATTTGATCAATAAATATGAGAGATGCCCTCTCAAAAAAAAAAATGGTGCTGGCACAATTAGTTTTCCATATGGAAAAACAGTAAATTGGACCCCTACCTCACACCATATATAAAAAAATAAAAATCAACTCCAGATGAATTCCATACATAAATATGAAGGGCAAAAATATAAAGCTTTCAGAAGAAAATATAAGATAATATCTTAGTGATCTCTAGGTAGTGAAGGATTTCTAAAAGAAGACAGAAAATATATAAAGCACAAAAAAAAAGACTTGTAAATCAGAGTACATTAAAATTAAGAACTTCTATTCATTAGAAAACACTATTAAGAGAGTAAAAAGACAAGCCATAAATAAAACCAATCAAAGGTTATAGATTATAATTACAGATTATAAAGAGAACTCTAAGAATCTCTAAACTATAGAAAAACAAACCAATAGAAATACAGCTCAAAAAGAAGAATAGGCACTTCTCAAAAGAGAACTCAAATGGCTACTAGGTGAATTTTTAAAACATGCTCAACCTGATTAGTAATCAGGGAAATGAAACCACAGTAAAGAAGTGTTTCACACTCACTAATCATTAAAATAATAAAGTCTGGAAAATACTAAGTGTTGGTAAGCATGTGGAGAAAGGGAATGCTCACCCATGGATCATTGGAGTACACATTTATGTGAGCACTTTGGAAAAGGGTTTGGCATTATGTAGTAAAGTCAAACATGTGCAAATACTCAGGCATTTCTCTCTGGGGTAGATATCTTAGAGAAACTGTAGCTTGTGTACAATGTACAGTCATTCCACTAACATTGCTGCATCATCATATCCAACAATAATTGAATAAATAAATAAACTATGGTATGTTCATGCAGTGGAACATTTTATAGCAGTGTAAATGAACTGAAACTACATGTACCAAAACGCATGTATTTCAAAAATACCATGTTGAGTGAAAGAAGCAAATCACAGGAGTACATATACATACAAACAGCTGGGATACATCTACTGAAAAATTCAAAACCAGGAAAAACTAAACTATATTGTTTAGTAAAATTATGAAGAAAAATGAGGCAATGATTACCCCAAACTTCAGGACAGTAGTTACATCTGATGGCAGAGAGAGAGGGAAGAAGGGAGTTGTGATCAGGGAAGGCCACAGAGGGCTTTAAGATACTGGAAAAAAATATTCTATTTTTTTTTAACCTGGGTAATGAGTACATATATATTCATTCCTTAAAATTATTCTTTAAATCACTTTTATGTATGTTTTGTATATTGTTATGTGTATGATATATTTCACCACTTTAGAAAAGGAAAAAAATCAGTGTCCAGAACTGAACACACAATAAAGTGGTAATACTAGAAGAAAGTCACCTCCCCTCAGTTTGAGTACCTGCCTCTGCCTAGCTGAACTGAGGTGTACATTTATACCTGCTAAATTTTCTTTTGGTCTAGTTGCCCATTCTTTCCACTTGTCCTCCTAGCCAGTCAAGCTCTCCCCGCGGCCAGATCATCCTCTGGGTGAACGGTAATCCTGAAGTTTCTGAGCTAGCTAGGCTGAGGTCCAAATTGCAGTGAGCAGATGCCCATCTCTTCTGAAAGCCGACCCTAAATCAGGTCCCTTAACATGCTGCTTCCTGTCCTGATTCTCTTAAGGTCATCTGTTCTGTCATAGCCCCAGCCTTTCCTTCGAGAAACCTTAACAAACATCTTATCAAGGTAAGCACTGCCTCACATCAGGTAATGTTGATAAGATGATGAGAGAGAATATTCTCACACGAGATGATTGCTGTTTCCTGAAGGGATAAAGCCTCACGAGGGAAGACCCCTGTGGTTCTCATAGGTAAGGGCTGGTCTCCCAAAGCTGATAACATAGTTCCGTTCAGAGGAGGAAGACAGAATACCCTTACTTATTTCTGGGCTCTTTGTGGGCTGGTGTGCATCTTTCACGTCTTAAAGACTCCCAGACCCTGAGCTGGGTGAAGTCCCAACCCTGAAGAACCTCTCCAGGATCAAGGTTGCTGATTTTTCCCTGCTGCCTAGACAGGCTCCAAACCACCTCTTGACAATGGGAAACTGGGTGATTAACCACTGGTTCTCAGTTTTGTTTCTGGTAAGTGATGTTTCACTTCCTATTAATTACTCTTAACAGAGTAAGGATTATGTTTGCTAATATTTGTCAAGTTCTTTGAAAGGGAAGGATTCCATGCCAATACTGGGCTCATCAAGGCCAGTTACCAGTTAAAAAGCCCAACTTTAGGATTACATATATATGTTTTACATACTCTTGTGTGTGATATGTGATATATTTCACTATTTTAGAAAAGGAAAAAAAATCCAGAAATTGATTGATAGAGACAGATGGTGTAAACCATAAGCGTTTGAAATTTTAATCCGTTTTCATTTTCCATCTTCTCTTTTGCTTTTCCATCTCCCTTCTAACTATTGTCATGGAACATTTCTCTCCATTCTTCTTATACTGCTCACATCAAGATCTCATAAAATAATCAAATGCTTAAGATAGAAGTGTCCACTAGAAATATAACATGAACCACATATGTAATTTTAAAATTTGGTAATACCTACATGGAAAATGTAGAAAGAAATGGGTGAAATTAATGTCTAGTAATATATTTTGTTTAACCCAATATATCAAAAATGTTAACTTTTCAACATGTAGTCAATATTGAAAATATTGAGATAACGTACATTCTTTTATTTTTCACTAAGTCTTTGAAATCCAAAGTGTATTTTACACTTACAGCACGTTTCAATTAGGCCTTGCTACATTTCGAGTGCTCAGCAGCCACATGTGGGTAGGGGCCACAGCACTGCGTAGTACAGATATAAACCAACTCATTGATTCTGCAAGGGAAAGCAAGACCTACATGTCGCACAGTGAGTTGAGTGCAGTGCTACAACTCAAATTCAGCTCCACCGTGCTCAGGCCTGAACTCCTTTACCACATCACATATGTGCAATCCTTTTCTCCTAACACATGTGTATCCTACGCTCTTTGTTCCATTTCTGAGGCACCCCTGAGCCTGAAAATTCGTGTTCTTTCTTACTTTCCTAGATCTTTGTGTCATTGCTCCTTCTGGGGTCTCACTTTCCTCCCATTTTTCCTTTGGGTCCATAGGACTGCCCAGGTGCTCCAGGGAAAAGCATATGGAAAACAATCATATTCCCCTAGAGGGCTGTTCATTTTGCATTTAACAAAAGACTAAGTGCTTATTTTGGCAGGTTATCCTATGACTTATGTTTTCTATATTCAATGCCCCATGTTTAATTCCTTTTCCACTAAATTAGGAGAGAGGGAACTTGAGAGTTAGTTTTAGTTCTGCTATTAACTGAATGACCTTGATAAAATTATTTAACCTCTTCTAGAGTTTGGGTCACCTGTGTGTGTGTGTGGGGGTAGGCATTAATGAAATAACTAGATTAGATACAAATAAAAGTGTGCTTCTAGCTCTAAAATCCTCTGTGCTTTTTTTTTTTTGAGAGGGCATCTCTCATATTTATTGATCAAATGGTT